AAAATATATTAGATAAATAATAAAAATGAAGCTATAACTAAGCGGAGTCCTAAACAATGGGCTACATTCATACTTACCGCGCGAAAGTTTCCGCGCCCATACGAAGTTAAATTCTTAGACCACGCCGATTTTACTGTTTGGCAAATAATTACTGTTCAAATATTTCCGGCTACAACTATGCCTAAAAAACTTGAAATTAAGGGACATAAAGATTGCAACTTATAAGAAAACCAATTTAAACGTAATGAAAATTAAATACTCTATGAAAGAAGACGCTGAATATTAAGAAAATCCACTGGGCCGTGATACAAAAAAGAAAATAACCGGACTAAAAGAAAAAAGATGGAGTAAAGATTTATTATCAACGATTACCAATACAATCAATATGGTCTCAGATTTACAAAGCTTTATGCAAACCCAGTACCTATTTCAATAAAAAAATGCCATGATTTGAAAAAACTATGTGGCGATGGTGATTCCCAAGCAGTACCTTCAAGGCTATCTGAGGGAGACTCAGTTGACAAAAGCTGATGTTGACAAAATTGATATCCTGACATCGATCATTAAGATAAAGGTGAGTGCGACAAAAACATCGAAGATGACGTACTAGATATTGAGAACTGTACAAAAATCTACTGAAAGAATTAAGAGGAAAATAGCTGGCAATGTGGAAAAACAGGAACAGCAGAAGAAACGCAATGAAGTTAAAGGAATTTTATAACAAAATGTTTGGTAAAAATGGATCAGGGGGAAAAATTAAAAGTAAATCGTGAGAAAACCTTATAGAAGACCTTATAGAAGACCTTATAGAAGACCTTATAGACGTGCGTACACAATAAATGATTTGATTTGATTTGAAAACAAAATAAAAAAACAAATGAAAATAAATTATTTGGGATGGGATAACGCAAGAAAAGCAAGGGATAAAACAAGGAAGAAAGCAAGGGAAACGAACCCAGGACTGGCCACAAAAAAAATCACTTGCATACGCTTGATAACATGATTATTTTAAAATTTGGTATGCTTTGTTTTAAAATAGCCTTTTTAATTTATTGTGTTTAGATTAATGACAAGATTTTTAAGAAGTTAGTTTCAGGAAATGAAACTATTTTTCCGGGTTTAAATCGCGTATATTTGTTTTTCAAACAAACCAACAATTTGGGCCCAGGGGGCCTACTATGAGCTTACAAGCAACCAGCCAAGTTCCATGCAATTCACTTGACGTGGTAAAACTGAATTACTTAAATTCCTATCATGACCTACACAAAGTTGAACGGGAGTGGCTTGACAGGATGATTAGTTTTACTTTTTAAACGTTAATCATTGTCTCTGGCTGGCTAGGTGACATCTAACAAGAAAGAGATGGAACTACACACTAAATCATATGAAAGAAATAGACAAATGTACTATCCTGGGAGCGTTCAAGTACTATTAACCGATTGTGTTCAAATCGGCAACTTTACAATCATACCTTACAATCTGTCGTACGATAAAATTACAGGTAATGTTTATGTCACTATTATCATTGAAATTAATATGGCGAGTTTGTAATTTGATAACATAATTGGAACGTATCTTGTATTCGTACATTTTCATTAATTGCATTAAAATCAAATTTGGCACTATTTAAAAGTTATTTTACGATTTTCGCAAGGTAATAAAATGATTAAAATTCCATTAAAAAATTGCAATAACATTCATGCCAATAATTTACAAACAATAGGTACCTTAAAGATTGGTAACTCTAACTAAAATATTCAAAAAACGCTCAATAATTAATAGTATTTATTTATTGACAGTTGGCTATATAGTCTAAAAAGATAACAAATAATTATGAAACTGAAAACATAACAAAACTTAACGAAATTTCTTAAAAATGTGACAAAATCTTAAAAAAGTTAGTCACTGTAACTTTTTTGAATTGCTTATTTTTACAGATGAGACCGCCATTTGCATGGCAAATAGCACGTCATGATACGATTTTGCTATGAAAGAAAAGGTGAACGAATTTGGAATGGGGAACGTAAAGTGCATGGAAAGTGAATTGTTTTTGTGAGGTCATAGTACGAATTTGACAGGTAATCCAACATACAGGCTTAACCGTGTAAGGCTTACGTCTAAATTAGTTTTCTTAAAAGTTGTAATCTTTATGTCCCTTAATTTCAAGTTTTTATTAGGCATAGTTGTAGCCGGAAATATTTGTCCAGTAATTATTTGCCAAACGGTAAAATCGGTGTGGTCTAAGACTTTAACTTCGTATGGGCGCGGAAACTTTCGCGCGGTAAGTATGAATGTAGCCCATTGTTTAGGACTCCACACAATAAAGTTTAGTAGCTAACCTTCGATAACACTAAGCATGGAGTCAAGCCTGGCAATAGATAGTTCACTTGAACGACTTAGTAAATCACAAAGTACCTAACCGTCAAATATGTATAGAAATATATCATAGTTTAGGCGTATATTCACGTTAAATAAATGTAATTAGAAAACAATTATTTCATCAATCAGTATGAAACTAAGGTTTATATGTAAACTTGTTTTAGATAAGTATTCTTTGGGTTTAAAATATTAATAATAGTAATAATAGTTAGATGGAAATGGAATAATAGTAAATTCCATTTCCATCTAACTTAAATATCCTGTTTCGTATTTTTTATTACACGTTTGAGTAACAAGTTACTGTAATAACGTAAAAATATTAATCTAAGGTCCATTTCTGGTAAAAAAAAGTGCGATATTAGTTAAAGTAACTAATAATTATTTGTTCTAAATAACTGTGAGTTTAATGTAACGGACAAAAGTTTTAGCGATTACTGTATTGCAACAAAATGTTTTTGTAGGCGTAGTCGTTACGTTAATTTAGTAAGACTCAAGTTCCTTATAAATGTATCATACACCAAATTTTTGTGTTATTTTATCAATTAATCTTCATTTTTTTGTAAGGTAACCGCTATTTTTTTCAAGATATAATTGTTTTAACAGCCACCACCACCACCACCAACACCATTCGATTGGGCGCAGAATTTTCTGTCGAACTGTATATATAACTCATTTTCGCCCATTTGGTGGTTACGTTAATTGATCCTACAACTGACGATATAAATATATGCATGGCCTATATATATTTATTTTTGTCGTTGCGTTTTTTTAAATGTTGAGCGCTAAAGGTCAATAATTTTCCACGGCCGGTAGAAATATTATTTCTCCCGGCCCTGGAATCGAACCCGGAAACTACCGGGACCGGCATGGTAGCCGTTCGGCCACGGAGGCAGTTTAAGGTCCAGTGACCCTACATTAATTATGACCTTATATTGTTTATTGCTTCGTGGTAATCGACTTATTGTGTCACAGGAGTGATCATAGGAGATTTTTATCATGACTTCAGAATAGTCTAATGATTCTTTTCTATATGTTTTGACATAATTTCCAAACAAAGGAAACTCACTGTGTGTTCCACATAGCAGCGTGTACGCATAATATAATGTGTAGTACGACTATACGAGTGTATGCGCGACTAATTAGACACCGTACATCATGTTGTGACACAACTTCAATTAGATACGCAGCCGTTTTGAGACTAATTAATAATTTTCCTATTTGACATTTCGACAGTTTTAGAGGCTTATTTATTAATTGAAACTGTTGATGTTTTCTGATTTATATATTTGTAATATAGATAAATGAAATATAAATGTAGACAGAGTTTCTTATCATCAATTCTTTACAAGTATTATATTCAATTTCTTAGCGCGTCGACTGTGACGCTTATATTTGAAGAGTTCAGGCGAAGACTGATCAAAGTCACTTGAGGAGAACTTTAGGAAAAAAGATATTTATATTTGAAAAACTTTTATATTGGTAAAAAAGACACGCATATATTTGTGCGTGGTAATCTACCTGAAATAAAGTCAATGCTGACATAAATATATATAACGCTATGTAATCCATTCTAACCAGATATATTTATAAATCTTTATTAAGTTTTCTACTATTTAGTCGCAAGCATTTTTATGGCTAAAAGTAAAAATGAATAAATAAATAAATAATAAATAAATAACGCACACACTCAACATAGCCCCGCACTAGGGAAACCCTGTGTCGCGGGTGCCATGGACACACACATAGACAACCACAAATTACACCCAAACTCACGAGAGAAATAAATGTAAGCCATACAAACATTTCTCCTGGTAACCATGGTAACCGTTCGGCCACGGAGGCAGTTAAACCATCCGGGCCGCGTCGTGGTGAATGTTCACTGATCCCACGGCGCCGACTCAACCGGCGAGAGGGAAACCCGGGGGGGTTTTAGTGGGGTAGGCCTTCCAGTGTGGAGGGAGAGTCCCCACATAACCCCTGAGTCTCCCTGGGCTCAGGGGTATCCATAAAGATTTCCCCCCCGTCAAAAAAAAAAAAAAAAGCAGTTAAACCATACCGGTTTATATTTTTTAGTGTAACTAAAAATATTTATGGTTTTTATTTTATTAAGATAATGTACAGGTAAGGTAGAAAAGACAATAAAAGCTTAACTACTAGAAAAAAAAAACTAATTTTTCAGGGCATTGAATGTTATTACCCTTTTTCTACTTTAGGCAAATTACGCTCAGCGTTTACCGAACTACATGACGGTGCTAACTTAAAACGTGTTTCAAGTGCCTTTGATCATTATTTCCCTGGTCTCTTCATTTGTGAGGACCAGTACTTAGCGACTGACACTGCATTCATTATCAGTGGCGTTGTGCGTTCAATTTAAGTAAGGCTGACTATAGAATACAACCAAATATAGTAACTTGACAATGAAATTTTTCCGTGTTTCCTTTTAATGTTACATTTGTATATTAAATATTTTTATTAGGTTAAATAAATTTATTTAATCTGAGTTAACTAATTGAATAAAAATATTCGTGAAATACCTTAACAAAAAAATAAATAAATTCACAAATGTTTGTAAAAGTGTCCAATAAAGTACAGCAATGGTTATTTTCATTTGAAATTTCTAGGTACGCAAGACAAGCATCCGAATGACTGCCATCAAGGAATACCCCTTCGACCTGAGCGACCTGCAGAAAAGCGAGGAGGAGAAGGCTCTGCACCAGCCTCCAAAGCCCACTGATGCTCCCGCTAGACCCAGATCTTCAATCAGCTCCCACACTAATACAGATGTTAAGAGGAGAGTTTCCATCATGGCCGACGAAAATAGTAAAGACCGGGAAAATCAGCCTTCGGAAAGGTAAAAATAAAGTTCACATTTATGTCACTTAGTTGCTTCGCTTGCACTCAATCAATCAATCTCAATCATACACTCAGTGCATTCCGTTAATTTCTGTTGCGCTCTTAGTCTTTCCCGTTGAAATCTTTAGTATAAAAAAACTTTAATTTCATATTAATTATTTGAGACTACTACAAACAAAGTCTATCTTGATTAAACAATTTTGGAGTTGACCAGTATATCAGAAAGTATACAATATCGTACCTAGGAAATTTATAACGCCTGATCCACGCTTTGGAGCAATAGCAATAAACACAATCAATCCTACAGACAATTGTGTCTGTATCTGAAAAGTGTCTGTGCAATATTAATTGTACAGACACTTTTCTGGCACTTTTTCTTAAAATATTATCTTTTAAAGTACAACTAAAGAAAACTTGATATTATTTATATAACTAGTTCCTGACTTTTTTTCAATTTTTGAAATCAATTTATATATTTACAAATTTAAAGCTTCTTTAATTTTGAGTTAATTGTAGTTCACAGAAAATCATTTAAATAATCTACAATAATAAAGAATTAAAAACAACTTAAAACAATAACTTTATTGCATATGAAAACTCACAAAATACGTCATTGGTAATTTCAATTCAAGTAGTCAAGTAGAGCTGTATCCACGAGTAGCTCATCTTATTCACCAAATACTTGTCACGTAGGAGGTAAAACTAGGCTAAATTCCTGGATGTTTTTAAACATCACACACATTGTGGCTCACCAGAACGATACAAGGTTGCTAGAAAAAATCATATCATGTAAAAATGTTTTTCATGATTGTAGACAATGTGTGGAAAATTGGCATGAAACAATATTGGCTAATAATGTTATTGTCGTAGTGTAAACGAAACAATACGATAACCTTGCTCGCAGAAATGTTATAGGTACCTAATATTCACAGAAATTAAGTTTAATGAGTAATAATTAGCGTTGCAAATTTTTTAATATACTTTTTTTGTATAATACCAAGTGACGGAACGAACAAGTCGTGCACTTGGTGGTAAGCGACACGCCTATTCATAACAGTTGCAGTACCACTCAGAGCTTAAATCGCAAAGAACTTAGGGGCACTGCCACTGCGCGCGTCACCCTGAGACATAAGTTGACAAGTCTCATGTGCCTGTAATTTCTGCAGCATCCTTACCCTTCAAAACCGAAACAGTAATGCTCACATTACTGCTTAGCGGCAGAAATAGGTAAGGTGGCAGTCTGTACTGTTACTCCCGATCGGTTACCACGCTGAGCTGCCACGCAAAGATCCTGGGTTCGATTCCCGGGCCTAGAGAAATATTTTTAAGGCCTATATTTATTTCTCTCATGAGTTTGGGTGTAATTTGTGGTTGTCTAAGTATGTCTCCATGGCACCCGCCATACAGGATCTTCCTAGTGCGAGGCTATAGTGTGTGTATGTGTGTAATTATTTCACTTCCTTGGATGAACTCTTTCACAAGGAGCTCTACTGCTACTTACTTACATATAATCTTATATGTAATCACAATCATTGTAGTTACAATATGTAGCACTAAAATAAATAAATAAATAACGCACACACTCAACATAGCCCCGCACTAGGGAAACCCTGTGTCGCGGGTGCCATGGACACACATATAGACAACCGCAAATAACACCCAAACTCACGAGAGAAATAATTGTAGGCCACAACTATTTCTACCGGCCCGGGAATCGAACCTGGGACCTCTGCGTGGCAGTCCGGCATGGTAACCGTTCGGCCATGGAGGCAGTTAACTAAGAAATATACTTCAACTAAAAAATAATCTTTTGTGCTTCTCCTGAATTTATTGAATTGAATTTTTTAAATTATTTCAAATTCAATTCTAAATGTCTTGCTCGATGCATGGTACTTAATTTTACATTTTCACTGCAAAATGCGGGTATTTCGCGCAGAACAGGCGCAAGAGTGAGCGATGCGGTTTGCGGAACTCTGTTATACGAGCGGTGTTTGAGTTGTTTTAGTCTGTATTATAAACATAGTGCCGATGCAGCGGAGTCATTTAATCGTCTGCCCGACACCGAGGCTGCCGCCCCGGATAATGGTGTAAAACGCATTTCTATGGCAAAGGGCTTACTTTCATCGTTGAGCGATATTTTTGCACGTCAGCCGATGTCCGGCCAGCCGGCCGGCGATACCGAGCACGCCGAGGCAGTCACGTGCCGGGGTGAGGCGCGGCGGGTGGTTTTACTCGCAGCCGACCCAACCTTCTCCTATAAGATGCACACTCGTCACGGCATAGGTGTGGAGCGTGCTGAGCAGAACGGCATGCCACCGAACACACCGTTCCCCGCACTCACTCGCCAGCCCAAGTTTAGTGAACAAGACTCACCGAGTGCCATGTAGAATGTCTCACAGTAGCCTCAGTTGTCACTACGACAGCTACCTCCCGTCCGACTCATCTCTCGAAACGGATGCACTCAACCGACACTGGTGAGTCTAATTATGCGTTACTTACTCAGCAACTATGTTCTTATCGCAAAATTAACTGTTTCTTCGTTCACAATTAGTGTAATGTACGTGAAGCCTGCACATAGTATGTAGGTATATTTAAACCTTCTAGGTACTGGCCATCATAGGTATGTCGCGTTATTTAATATTGTGGTATTGTAAAAAGCACTAAATATTTTAGAGTGTTAACATGTCAATTATAGAATTTATTGACTATCATTGTTATATTCTATTTCATAGCTGTGTATTTCATTACATGCATTGTGTTGAATGCATGTCGTTTCTTACAAATTTCCGTTAAAAACACACATACATCCTTTATTTCGTGATTGTGCCTTCGCTAAACGTAAACATTTGATAAATTGCGTTTCCTGCTTGAATGGAACGGTCTGTCTAGGTCTGTCGGTCTGTCTAGGTAAAATCTCAAAAATGCTAAATTAAATGATTAGTATGTACATAAAATTATTCAATCGTAGAAAGGAAAATATCGGCTTTTGTCACACTGAATTATAAGTTCGGTTTTGTAAATTAAGGTAGACACGACAATTAAACCAAATGAATAGCAGTAAGGGTGCTGACTTTATTATTATATTAGTTAATATAAATACATACGATCCGTACAATTTCCTGTTCCTGTAAAAGAAACACCACTACTTTGGTATATTTATTCTAGTACAATACAATACAAACACAAAATACAGAGATAAACAAAAGACAAAAGAGGGGAAATATCAGGCACATAACTTCCCAGTGACCTTGGGATGAAACGATAAACTTAAAAATAGACTTAGATGGAGGGTGCATTAAATATTATTACGATCTTAGCACTAATGGTACATCTACATAAATTAAAAATAAATAAAGTATTATTCCATAATTCGGATCAAATGTACAGTACGTCGAAAGGTGAGCTCTAGGCTTTAATAAGACTTAATTTATTCATAAATATAGTGCGAGACGTGCCCTTGTACGTACTTGTTTCATTTAAAATAATTATTTATATAGTTACATAAAATAAATGATAGTTATATAATTATTATTTAGTCACTCAGTTTGAAATTTGTATAGGAAGTTAAACTTAAACAATATTACAAACAAAAGTACCTAACAGGTTATCACAACCCTTTAAAACCACTTAGAGGACTGTTGTATAATGATTTAAACTATTCCTCTCATCAAAACAAAATCAAAATTAAATGGTCGTTATTGAAGTCATCATGTTCATTAAACTCTACCGTTCATTCGTAAGACAGATTCCCCTGAGAAGAATGAGCTAGAAATTCTAGGTGTTGCTCTTTATAAATAGACATTTATTATTTACAATACTTATTTCAAACATAGATCGAGACAACCTGCAAAAGCTAAACGTGTCACTACCACAAATGTTTGTGGTCCAAGTACGCGGAGAAACCTTTATTACAAAGTTTCTGTTTCACTATAGTTTTAAGCCTCGTGAATGGCCAATTTCGAATATCAACGTAATAGTTTATCAAAAGAGAGCTAATCTATTGTTGATGCGAAATTGTTCCTTTTCTTTTGTTTCAGGACGTTGGCCATAATTTTCAATTAAATTTATAGCTAATTCTTATAATTTTTAATGCTCCATTTGAATACAGATTTTTCTATTATCATGAATTGTCAACTGCAAAGGGAAACAAATGTTTGGCGCATATCTATGCAAAATCGATGGTCCTGCTCATGATAGCGGGTGCACGGAGTATGGGAAATTTAGTCATTCATGCTGATATGCGTTATTAGCTTTCAGTAATTGCAGTGACTTTACACTCATTAAACTAACGAAGAGAACCCTTGGTTAATTTTTCATTAGCATATTTTGCAGAGTGATGATACATACATACATATATACCTACTTATCCAATAATTTAGTACCTTTTATCGGATTTAAACTAACTAAATTATAATCGTACTTATATGGTATACTATACAGAGGTACAATATGAAAAAAAAATCAAATTATGTATGTAAAATACCTAATTTTTTTAACGCACATTCATTGCCCCGCACTAGGAAAACCCTGTATCGCGAGTACCGTGAACACACACATAGACAACCACAAATTATATCGAAACTCACAAGAGATTTTTTTTAATAACACGCACACACTCTACATAGCCTCGCACAAGGGAAACCCTGTGTCGCGGATGCCATGGACATACACATAGACAACCACAAATTATACCCAAACTCATGAGAGACACAAATATAGGCCTTAAAAATATTTCTCGGGAATCGAATCGTATCGAATCTGGGACCTCAGCGTGGCAGTTCGGCATGGTAACCTTTCGGCCACGGAGACAGTTCGGCAATGTAGGCCATATAAATATTTATCCCAGCCCAGGGATCGAACCCGGGGCCTCTGCGTGGCATTGTAACCATTGGGCCACGAAGGCAACTAATATTATCAAGTACATAATCGATCGTACTTTCAATAGTATTGTTGAGTGGTCCACAAAAATTGTCTTGTACTGAACTCCAGCAAATCTAA